GGCGGTGTTTGTTTTTCCTGCAGAAGACTCGCGAGGCCCGCCTCCTGCACCGAAGGTCAAGGGTCCGAACGTGCTGAGGAGCCAGGACGTGGCGGTCGATGCCCCTGCGCGGTAGTGTTCTGCGGATCAGAGATGGACGTGGGCAAACTCCCGCACGGCGCGAGTTGGGCACCGGCTGCCGCTGCTAGGGCTGGGGACGAGCGAGAGGAGGCGTTCGGTCCTGCCGACTCGGGGAGGCAGGAGGGAGCACATCGGGGGGATGCAGGCTTACGTTGCACGATGTGTACGGGAACCAACTCTGGCGGGAAACGGTTTAACGGGCCAAACTGCAGCAGAACTGGTTTCTGCAGCTGTGAATCAAACGACTGTTCAGCTGGAAGTTTCATGCGGCAAAGCAAAGTTAACAGGTAACTCTTGACAGCATGTGGAACTATTGCTTGAAATGATGTGCTTAACTTCAGCAGAGAGCTAAAGTCAGAATCAAGGACCTGGTGTAGCTGTGATCTGGAGTTCTCCGCGGGGCTCGCTTACTTCAGTACGCCAAGGAAGCTTGCCTGAATCACAGACTGTGATGTTTATAATGGTCTCACATGTAGATTAGATTGCTGCTGCCTGGGTCCTCATAAGGTGTTTGCCTCGTTCTTAGATTGGCTGATCCAGATATGTCATTGACACTTTTGTGGCTTCTATATATACTTAATCTAAAGACTGCATTTAGCAGTAGTAAACCAGAAATTACTTAAATATTTTTCCCGAAAGTTCAGGAATTCAATGAGGTGCTAATTTCTTTTTTTTTTTCCTAATTAAAAAAAAAAGGGCAGTATAAGAGCTGTAATTTATGGAATGTTAAACTGGCACGTAAAGCTAACATGCAATACTTGAAGTTATTTAGTGATTTAATATAGTAAGAGTATGATACTAATAAAAATGCCAAATGTACAGAAGTTATTTAAAAGAACAGTGTTTGTATCTCATCTGTAGGGTTAGAATGAATCTGCGTTTTGACGATATTGACTGCTTATTTTTCAGTCAGTGAAATAAGCAAAAGTAAAAAGGGAGATTTTGCCTGTTAATAACCTTGCAGCTGTTGAGGCCAATGACTCTGTTAAAAGTACAACGAAGACACCCCAATCACGTGAGAAATGAAATCTTTGCATCAGGTGTATTTTGAGGACCTCACGTTTCCCTGAAGTGCTTATAATCAGACACAGGCTTCAAGGCTAGAATGTACGTAAAGAATCAGCATCTATTCATGACTTTTAATACCGGTGAGATTTAGAAAATCTAGAGCAAACATCAGCTTATTTTTAGTTGCTGAGCATCTTAAGAAGCAGATTGGTTATGATGTGACTTTGCCATCCATGACATGTTGGAGTTGCAAAGAAGAAAGGTAAAGGAGAAAAGAGTAAGTAGCAAAGAAGTGAGAAAGATACAAGAGGAAATGTAGTGAATGAGCATTAGGACATCTCCGGATGTTCTGTGACTCTGCAGCCAAGCCCATAGAATGTTAATTTAGTGAATAATTTTAATTAGTTGACAGAAAGGAAGCTCCTATCGCAGAAGTCTCCAGTAAAGTTTAACCTCTCTTTCACAGTGAGCAGCTGAATTGGAGGCAGTCTCACAGAGATCTGATGATGATGATCCAAGAAATGAAAAGGTGTTTACCTGAAGAGAAAAGGAGTTCCAGCAAGCCCAGTACCATCAATGCTCTCAACTATGCCTTGCAGTGTGTCCAACAGATCCAGGGTATGTCTGGAAAAAATCTGGAAGTGTAGAAGCTGTATAGCAGCTTGGTTTGAATAGATGTGTCTAGCGACAAATAACATTAAAACAAATGAAAGCATTCCAGTTATCCTACAAACAATTGACTTTCTGAAGCACTGTGGGGTTTTGGTTTTGTTTTTAAATATTCATGTTATCTTTTGTATTGAAATGCCCGCCTACTGCTTCTCTTTTCTTCAGAATCCTGTAGCTAATAGGTGCCTATTAATAACTTTCTGTGTATATTGAAAAAACAGAATTCCCATCCCACTTTGAAAAATTATTGGATAGTCTGTGTTTTCCCACAGAACTAAGTAGCTAAAGTAGTTCTTTTGCCATCGTGTTCTGTGCTTTCTACTTCCTTATGCTCATTTTCTGTAACATAAGTAGGTCACTCCAACAGTATAATCAGTATTCTTTTTTCCTTTGTCACTACACAGACCCTCCTCATCTCACCTTGGACTTCACCAAAAAGATGACAAAAGTACAAGGGCTGTAAGAAATACTTTCAAAATAGTCTCCTTACTGACTTCCTTGTGTTTGTTTTGCTTTTCCTGTTTTGTTTTGTTTTTTTTTTCAATTAGCAAACAATGACTTTTTCCAGGCTCTGAATGACCGAAGAGTGTTTCAGACAGATGTGATGACGTACAGCATAGAAGAGTTGATGGCAGTTGCGTCTGAACACACGCCAAAAAACACTGTAAGGAATTCAGGCACACTCAAGGAGTTCATCACTTGCCGTTTCACTATTTAGTCTCCTTACATTGTTTTGTGGAAATAGAATATGTAAAATTGAAAAGCCTTTAAATTTTAGCCAGACAGGCCTTTGTGTGTTTAACAGTAGATCAAGACTACTTCTTGTCTGTGCTGACTCAGGGTACTTAACAGCAGTAAGTGAAGAAATACCTATTTTTCTTTTTTTTCTTTTTTTCTTTTTTTTTTCTTTTTTTGCCAGAAGCAACAACTAGCTCTTTGAGAATCTTATTTGAGAATTCTTTTACAGCATAGTAATCTGTTGAGACAGACTTAGCAGAATGTTTTCAAAGCTGATCAAGTCCATAGTCGTGAGGGTCTTCGGTTTCTATTTGTACTCCTGGATTTAATTTTTTTTGTCTTCATTTGCAGTATCACGCTTTCTGGCTCTGCTTCAAAGAAAAGAGTGTTTCTTGAGATTCAGTACTGTTAGATGCCATATCAGAAATATTGCAAATGCTTTCTACTTGAAAAGTTCTCAGAATATTTTTTTATATGGAATTGTGGTGAATACTCTGAAATTTGGGGAGAAGCATGTGGTGTGATAACCAGTCATTCTGGACAATGGCAAGCATCACTGTAATCTGTTTCAGTTTTGATGTTGCAGTCTTATTAGCATTTGTAAATCGGGAGTAAGCTACTATAGCATTGGAGATGGTAGTAGCTTATGCACAACTTTAATTGGACGCTAAATTAAGAACACGTTTTTGAACCTCTGTCTCAGGTTGTGGTATGTGGTGGTTTTGGGTTGGTTTGTTTGTTTTGGGATTGTTTTTGTTTTGTTCTTTTATCCTTACAATATTGCTACCATGTGTTGGGGGAGGATTGCCTTTAACAATGTTTGTTTTCCAGGACACATTTGTGGCTGTGTTTTCCTTGCTTTCTGGACGCATAGTGCATATTTCTGAGCAGGCAGCATCCATTCTAAACCGTAAGAAGAAAGTATTGAACTCCTCCCGGTTTGTAGAGCTGCTTGTCCCTCAGGATGTGAGTGTGTTCTACACACACACCGATCAGTCCCACCTGCCGCTTTGGAACATGGAAAGTCAAACAGGTGGGACTTGGCAATGCTCTTCAATGCTTTATGTATCTTTCTGTCTTTGCAGAATGAGGATAGAATTCATTTCATTCAATTCAGTTCATTTTAACTGCTTATGCTAGCAATATACGTAGGCCGCACTTGTTCCCGTTCCACTTTGAAAACTTGAGTAGCTATGCATCTAGTCCTAGCTAGTCTCCTAGAGGCTTTAACTCTTACTTGGGGTAAGTAAAAGGCAGATACTTCATTGTTTTGTGTACCCTCTTACTCATTCGAAATACTACTGCTTTTTAAAAAGAAACTAAAGGTCTAATTGTGGGTTTAAAGTTATTTAATCTG